TATAGATTTAAATCTGTTCAATAGCAATAATGTATGGAGGGTCTATTATGATTTAAAAGATACAACAATAGAAAACAAACTCGGCAACACTTCTATGAAAATACTCATCAATTATCACTTTTATCAGATGATCTATTTGTGTTTACTATTCAAAATTGAATAATCTATAAATAACATATTGTTATGATGTTATTTCAACATTGTTGTGGACATAATGTATGATATTTTAGTCACAGATAATTCTAGTCTTTCCTTACATTATAAATATGGGGGAAAGGGATTTTTAGTAATGGGGTCTAATAGCCCCATTACTGGCAACCCTCACCACAAAATACCCTCTCAGGTTGACCTCCACGCGGTTCCCCCTGGAAACCATCATGTTTAATTCTTGTCGAATTCATCATGGTGGACCAACTAACCCGCATTCATTCTCATAATTAGTAGTAATCAAATAAGATACAACTTATCAACACTAATAAGAATTTAATTTAAGCCTTTAATTTTTAGTAGTGGCAAAATTACAATTATTCAAAAGACGTTATGGGCAACATAGTGCATACGGAGATACCCATGAAGTTAGTTATGTCTATACGTAGTTCGTTATACCTCTTTTTCTGTAGTCTATAAGCGATCTTTATTATCACTTTCCTTTACTTCTATTCTTACCATAACTTGTTGATTTTGTTCATAGTTTAAATTCAATTTTGTTGTACCATTTAAGATTGGGTCACTAAAGTAACAGCTACTTAAATCCCAAAGGAGCAATACAAGAGTAAACCCTATTGAATGTAAAAGATTTATCAAAATGGATAATTTAAACATCGTCCTTGTAGTCTCGGCATAGAGTAGACCACCTCTTCCTTTCCCGTGGGTGTCGTAAGAGGTGACTAAGGGAGGGCGAGCGATGGGCAGTAGAAGGTAGAGATATTTTAAAAGGAATGCCCTTTTAAAATATCTTCTAAAACATATCTGCAGTTGTCAATCTACCTGCCAAACGTGCCAACTACTGGCAAAACCTCCAAAGGGGAGGCTTATTCAGCAGTGGATCATCACGGGTGATATGATGATGTTAATGAGAGGAAATACAACATAACATAGACACAAGAAAAAACAATTTGATATTTCCTCCTTTTTGAAGTTATATAAAGATTATATTTATTATACAGACATGCTTTTATTATATTTATCCATAAATCTGAGTTCCGTGACTAAGTACCATTACCTACTTATTCTATACTGACTCAGTCCATCAACTCTATTATTCAGTCAACAAACTCTATCATATAAATATTTGCGAATAACAATAACCATTTAATATGTCTACCCATTATGTACAACGTTAGCTATGGTCTTTTCTATAGGTACGCGTTATGTTATAATTGTTTGCATGTAACCTCTAATTGCTAATAATAAATTGTATGCTTAATTTGTTTACGTAGAATGCAAATATGTTGCGGCACAATGATTTCGTTTAAGTTTCCAAGAGTAAAAACAATACTATGAGTACAGTCAACCTTAATACAGTGGCGAACTCTATGGAAGTTGAATAGTTTTTGATTTTAATTTTATTAACGTATCTAAATACGTTAATAAATTTTGCTCTTTAACAAAATCGGCAAAGGTATTATAATAAACAATGTTTATGATATTAATATAAAATTCAATAGGTTTTTAATTGACGAAATAATTTTAAATTAAGTAACTTTTTTACGATTGAAGTCACTGCACTTTTTTATTAAAATGCAGTGACTTCAATCGTCACTAAACACATCGATAAATGTTGAGATGATTTGTAGGTATCATCGTCGTCCTCATATCAGCTGTTAAATGTTCACTGCTAAACATAGACCTATCCTACGAGGAGGGGGATATTGTTAGTAGTTCCCAAGTTTAGCAGGCGGGTTGGCAACAGCAGTTTGTCTTTTGGTGATGTTTTTAGAGGGACGCTGTTGTTTATCCCTCCACTATAAGCTCCCTTAGTCGCCTCTTACGACACCCACGAGAAAGAAAGGGATAGCCTATTCTATGGCGAGACCTATACGGCTATTACGAAGTTAATATGATACTAACTTGAAAACATACCACATCGTCTGCGAAAAGAATTATTAAAAACGACGTATCGACAATAAAATAGACGAATTTTTTTTTATACAATTTAGAATGGCAAACAAGCTGACGGCCCACCTGGTGGAAAGTGGTAACCGTCGCCTATAGACATGAGTAGTACCATGGACATAACAGAGTATACTGTTTCGCTCATGATACTCCCCATGCGTTGCCATTCCTGAGGACTCATGTGTTATTCCTCTGTACTCAGTAAATTTACGCCATATCCCACCCTTCAAAACGAAACACAGCCATGCAAACACAACTGCTTCACGAATTGTTTTGAATTAAGAATTTCTTTCTTCAAAACTAGTTTAAATGTATTATAAACTATAATAAGTTTAATAATATTATCACAAGAACAGATAATATAATACTATACTAGTATTACAGACAATATGTATGATAATGAAAATATTGCTGTGTAGTCTGGGTCGTTAGTCATAAAATGTTTCACTGGTGTAAATATGGGGTTTACACAAATTACTTACATCAATACGGGCTGTGTGGAATTTACCTTTTTAAGCATAATGATGCGCCTATATTACAAATTTATCACTACTACGGGGAAAAAGATTTTTCGTATGACTAAAGACAATTTATATAAGGCTATATATAAATAGACTCTTAGTTATTCTAATTGCATATTTTTAATGAAGCGAAACTAAATCTAGTTCTACAGTGAAAAATCTGTTATGTACTTCAATAGTAACAATATTAGTAGATGTAAAGATAGCAAGTGACTAATCTTTATCAATTGAAAGTAAAAAACAATGATGAAAAGATGTAGCTTAAAAATATTATCGAATCGTCATCGTACACAGTACTATTAGAGAAACATTATACATTAAATTGAGAGGAATCTTTTTTGGCGTTAGCTGACATACTTACCTATGTTCTTAGATAGCCCATAATAAAGGAAAATCTCTTAAAGTGCAGTTACTTAACGTTATTATCTCTCTGAAAATAGTACTGTTCCAGTTCTTATCCCTGTCTATAAACCGTCGCAAATAACGGCTCCAAGCTTTAAGGCAGTAAGGCACGTAAGGTAGTATATCCACATAATATTGCTGTTATTAACATTATCCTACTAACATTACAAACTTGTAATGACGAAAGTTTATGTTCGGATGTTTATGACTGAATCACGGCTAAACGGTTGAACGAAACTGAATCTTGCTACAAACATGAACCATATCCTATATTAACACATGTTTGGGTAAATCTACGGGATTCAGCCAACTATATTTTGCAGGACAACTATTGGTGTTTAGTTTAGGATATAGCCTATTAGTGTATTAAATTTAATTCAAATCTGTTTAGCTATTTAAGCGGAATAAAGTAACATCATCGGGCAAACGTTTTTACAAACTTTTACATTTATAATATTAGTAAGATTTTAATACTATATCTGAACTACCAATGTATGAAACATGATCTTAAAGTTGCTTCGATATATCAATGTAAAAATAGTCTTTATTTCAATTCAATTATTCCATGATGATGATACATCATATCAGGTTTTAACTGTCGACTGTTGAACAATTAAGCCTTCCCCTTGTGGGATTTTGCCAGTAGTTGCCACACTTGGCGGGTAAATTGGCAATTTCATTTAAGCTTTGTAGATGTTTTAAGAGGGATGCTGCTGCCCATCCCTCACCTTCTCTTAGTCGCCTCTTACGACACTTACGTGAAAGGAAAATGTGGCCTATTCTATGTCAGGACCACGTGACGATATTCTATTATATGTTTATCAATTAATGTTCAGTATTAATATGAAATATTTATGTAATACTCATTCAAGCAATATGATAAAATTAGTTTGTTTTGTTTTTACTATCAAAGTAGCAAGTATTGTAATAATCTATACTAGTGACAATATTGCATTTAAAAAAATCAAACATATAATATCTATCTAAGTAATGTAAAAGCTTAAGAATTAATATTTCAATAGAGATACAATTGCAGCATACTGTTAACTGCTCTAGATTATAATTGTCATATGGTTGGGAACTTAAAATTATGTGTTACATATACACTGAGTTTGTAATGGATTCATACAGAGGTATAAAACAATGTTTCTTGTATAATTGATTATCGATTCAATTAAAACAAATTGTTGAACTAATATTACTTTATTAAATTGTTTTATTTTGGCGGCTATAAATTAACATGACAGAACAGAGAATCCGGTTGGCACTATATTATATTGTTGAATTAATTATAAAATCAAGTTTGCAATGTATATTCAAATTAACATGTTTTAATTTATTTATTTAGTTCACTAGGTGACCACGTACGGGTAAACGCAGTGTAGGACAACTCCCCACTAGATGATGATATGAAATGCATTACAGGGATGGATGGGAGGGGTGAATGCAGGCGGTTCAAGTCAGTTGTTTATGGCAGTCTATGGGGGAGGCTTATGCCCAGCAGTGGACGGATAATGGCTGAAATGATGATTTTGTTCACTAGTGATAACAAACAGTGAGAATAATAAGTGCAAAAGAAGGAATTCGAACTGATAACAATTTTTTTTTAGGATCAATTTAGATGCATCCGCAAGTTAACAAAATATTATTCTGGTTTAGTATATTCGAATATGAAATTGATGTTGGTGTCCTTCGGAACGTAGCAATACAATTTCGCTATTATCCATCGGTCAATCAATTCCCGATAAACTTATTACAACATTACTGTGTACCTCTATTAATACCTTCCCATTACCTTGATCAATGTTATATCCGCCATCTAGTCCACCGGCATTGTTGCGCGGACGTTAGTGACGCATGCTTGTTGATACTTTTTTACAAATGTAACTATGAACTCGATTACAATCGCTTCTCGGCAATCAAGTTGCGTGGAACACCACATTTATATGACGATTATTTTTTACCGATCGATATAATCGATGCACGTGCGAGTGGGCACGAGTCGTTGCTCACGAACTTGGTTGCCGAGACAACCGCGTCAGTTTTGCTTTGGGTTTCCTCCAGTATGCATATATAATATGCTCCGGCTTGTGTTACAGTCAGTTTGTTATGCGAATGCGAGAAAATTCAGTGTTCGCGTAATTTTGTGCATATGTTAAATATATTCGATTTTTGTTGTGTTAAAGGTCCAAAGGGATCGATTGATGACAATTACTCGAAAATGGCGCAAATTAATGGACACCATATACCCGCGACTTGCCCGTTCAGTGCTGATAATGTGCATATGAAAGGTGATGACAGTCAGAAACCAGTGAAACCAAATCTTCGTGTAAAAGTTCCTCAGCCAATAAGATTGAAAAATCTTATAGCTAATGAAGAGAATTTCGATACACTACATTCGCAGATAGAAGAAGTATCTAGTTTTGTGAGTATTTTCTTTCATATCTAATAAGAGTTAAAGCTGTGATAAGTAACGATAGTCGCTGTCTATAACTTCATGCACCAAGTAAAGTTTTCTGGTTACATTTCAAGTTTACGACTTCACTCTTAAGGTGAGTGAACTAAGTTTTCTCGGCAGAGCATATCAATTAAAAACGTTCTATAATTTGTCGTGTTTTGACCTAATAGTTAACATTTTTCATCATATATAAATATCATATATAAAAGAAAATATTTTATAATATAAATTGCAGAATGGCAACATAAAATATATGTAAATAAAAATTTAATACTTAGTTTATCAACTGACAGCGTATTACTTGAGAATGGTTGCACCAATTTGGCAAATTATTACGAAGTTTGTTGTCCGGTTAAGGATTTTAGGAAAAATTAAAAAAAATCTGAATAGGGCATAAGACTTTTCTTGTTAATATTTTCATATCGGGTTTCGAATTCTAATGAACCTTTCATATAAACTTTGTAACAATATTGGTATGAATGTTTGTCTTCAATAAAGATTTATTTATTGTCAATATTGCATAAAGTATAGGCAAAACTATGCATTTAAATGTTTAACATCCGACAGAAATATTGTTTAGAAAAATATATAATAATTTGAAATTTAATTAAAAAAAATATGAACTCTAATAAACTCTACATCTAAATCACATCTAAAAAAAAATAGTCAACATATTATTTATAAAGTAGGTAACTTATAATTTATTTAAAATCACAACTTATAAAAATAATTATATATAATATAAAATAATTATATTTACGCCGACAGTACTCTATTTATTGCAGTTTAATAAAACAAAACTTGTCTATAAGGAATAATAAAAATGATCAAAAAGAAAACATTGAAATTTCAATAAGTTCAAACGGCAAAAACTAGTGTGTCTGGTAACATAGTAAACTTAACATAAGTAGGATGTATACATATCTTTATTTTATTAGCATCAGCAACCTAATCATGTTTACACGGTATTTAGTAGCTATGAAGAAGTCCAACCAATTGGATAATGGTCATTTAATGTAACCAACAGTTGAAACTTTGTCTTTGTGGTAACAACTAGGTGTAACTTGCAACGTCCTGTCTTAATCCAGGATATTATCTATCTGTGCTCCAAATTCCATTCAAATCCGTTCAGTTACTGAAGCATGATTGACAAATAAATATCTAAACATTTTTACAAAGTTTATCATTTACAATATGAAGAAATATTAATAAAACATGAAAAAACGCATCTTGATTGACTGGATTTGAACCCGCATCTTCTATGCTATACTGGGGTCAGTGCTCTTAGTGAGCTACTGTTTTACATTCCTGTCATATTTAAATAATATTTCTAAATCAATTTCCAATTATCATATTATCAAGTGTCTAATCATATATTAAATATTTATCTATATATATACATACATACATATATATATATATATATATATATATATATATATATATATATATATATATATATTTAAACAAGTGTCATTTGAAAATACGGTCTCTGTACATAGGTACAGAGAGCATTGTAAATACAGGAAACTTTTTTAAAATACTCAGTTTGCCCATTAATCTTTAAGGTAAATATATTACTAATCGCTATTTATAGATGGTCATAATTAAAGCACAAACCAAATTTATGTTTTTTTTTCATACATATTATATGTATAATTAGATATAAATATAAAAACCTGCTCTAATTAAAAAAAATAACACTTAAAATTTCTGATATGAGGAAGTTAAGATAGTGAACCAACAGAATAATAATAGTAATAATATTCTTCTCTTCTGAGTCGATTCCTCAAACCTCAGGGTCGTGACCACTAGAGATGCTCCTACATACTCCAAAAAATACTCCCCAGTTTTTCCTATCTTGAACTATATAGGTTGCTGACAGGATATTCAGTTTGTTGAGAATTCTGATTAATTTGGTCTATCTGGTTGGTGATTTGCCCAACAATTAATTTAAATAGTATTAAGATAAAGTTTGCCAAAAAGTGCTAGATAAAAATTCATAGAAACAAAATAAACTAAAAGTTGTTTTGGAACAAATTTTTGTCAGTTACTTATATTTGTAACAATTTGATGTAATTTTTATAGATTGCCAGTTTTTAATGTCGAGTTTGACCGTGATCGGGATATGTCGGTTGACGGGAATAAACGGTAATCAATATCCTATAATTAATTAGTCAAATGTATGTAATTTTTTTAATTTTAAATGAGGCCTAGTGGACAATTATCGGCTGATAAAATGATGATTATAATGAGCCGTTAAATCATCAAGCGAAAACAAAAAAACTCACTTTCATATTTATAATAAAAAAACTCTTTACATCAGGTGGACCGTATTATATTTATGATATTTTTACAAATAAGTGTTTGATACTATACCCCGTGAGCATCTTTCGTAAATAAAGCCTAACGTTTAAAGATAGATTTTCAGATACATAAAAGGAGAAAAAAAAATTAGTAGTGATTTGATATACTTGAAAGTTATAATAGGTACTTTAATACCAACTGCACCTGTGGACATAATATTACATTTAATTTATTGGGGTTCAAATATCGTTGTACCACGAGAAATATACTTATTCGATCGACTTTATTGGTACTAGTTTTTTGATGGGTGAAAATGATATGGTAACCCCGCCTGGGCTAACGGGATATGCTGGCGGAGCACCAGTGAAGAGTGATAGATGAGAATGAAAACAGGCCAGTTAGCCCATCATGATGAATTCATCAGGAATTAACCATGATAGTTACCAGAGAGGTATATTGCTATATTGCTAGCAATAGGATTCTCAGTCTCCATTACTAACAATCCCTTTCTCCCCTATTGGTACCAGTTAGGTAACAATATAGCTAGAAAACAAAAACCTAGCAAAATTATACGAAATAATACAAATAGATGTGATAAATGTTGAAGTTTTAATACTGGCTGTTGACACTGAGGGTTTTTAGAACAATGTATTATTTTTAAGTTTGTTCTATGTCAGATTTTTATAATACATGTCTTGTATTTTTTTCACTAAACTTACTATTATATATCACAAATATATATATATGTTTTATTACTGCATCCTGCTATTTACAACAATAAACTGATATCTATATAAATAAAAATGATTCAACGATAATTTAGTTAATTAAAAAAAATAGGATTGAGAATCTTAGAGAAAGAGAAAAAGAAAAACAAAATTTGGACAGAACATTACACTACATTACATTTTATCGGAATTAATTTTAAAATAATCTCATTTTAAATTTCATCTCTCAATTACATATAAACATGCAGCGATTTAAAAAAAATTGGAAACACTAATTATTTATTTTTATAAACTAATATCGATAACGTAATGATAAAACATTAGTCACTAAGGGAACTTGTATTATTTATACATAATTATACTCTATACTAGACGATGTCTATATTTACACAAGTTTACAAGGTCACACCTGGCAAACCATTGGAGTTCTAAATAAATTAGTTTATAAGTAGTAGAGTATACGAGTACAATTGTAAAGGAAACGAATTTGCACTTGAAATGATTTTTAGGCTTATGCCTGTATATTGATTTTTTATTTTTATTTTACTTTACTTTATTCTTTTTATATAAAAATAAATATGTATTAGTTGTTTTGAACCTATAGAACAAGCTCTACCTGGAGATACTTTTTAGAGATAATTCATCTTTGCTCATATTATTTCTAACAATTAACATTATTACTATATTTCCGGATGTAATAAAGAATATTAGTGAATATTAATAATTGGCGTTGTATAATTTGTTTAGAGGTAATTATTTATTTTATAGTTTTTTAATTCTATTTTAATGTCATTCGCTATGAATATCTAAATACAATAAAAGCTTATGAAATAAAATGATATTTATTTGCTGTGAATGTAGTACATAATAGGACGAAATCAATGACAATAAGTAGTTTGCACATTCAGCCAGTTTGGCAAGGAACATTTTTATACAAACCTAATTCATTATATTATATTTATCAAGTATTTATTTGTCAATTAACGGTTCATTACATTATTAACATTTTATTCATTGTAAAAGATGCAATAATAAATTAATAATTCAACAAGCTCATTAAATTATGTCATCGATTTTACGTTTAAAGTAATCATTAATGGAATAAAAGCATTTATTAGTCAGTTATATAAATAATTTGCTCTTAAACCATTTTAAACAGAAAACAGGAACTGTATTAGGTAGTTTGTTATATATTTTTATGCAGTATGAATAATACTGCGGTACAACTGATACTGCGGTACACGCGTGTTTTCATATTTGGTAATACATGTTTTCCGGGATGTCTTACAGAAAATCTATAAACCTTAAAACAAATTTTTCCTTGAAACTCATTCAAGGGACAAATCCACCTGTGTTTCTTGTTATTTGCTTCGTAACCTGATACTTGTGTCAAATGGGAATGTACAATAGAGCTTTTACAACAATAACATCAAATATATTTTTTATATGAGATAAAATATTTCTTTGAAAAATTTTTAATATTTTTTTTTTGGTACATTTCCTGGAATAATATAACTCACTTCACTATTCGAAATTACGTAGACATAAACGTAGGTAACATACGTTATTGGTGTATTTAATAGATGTTAGCAAAATATTAAAACATATATTTTTGCCTCATTACCAAAAGAAAAACACCATTGATGCAAAACGAGAATTTTAATAAATTTAAATTTATGGAAATCGATATTTCTTATGAATAGAAATATGAATGTACTTGCTATCTCTTGACACTTTGACGGCCTAAGAAATCGTCATGTTCAGCATACACCTGCAATTTGGGATGAAAACCTACTTTTTATCTTGAACAATCAATATAATGTGACGAAGTGGCAAGTGAAAGCTAGTTTAAAATAAACTTGGAAGCTATAGTTTCTGTCAAGTGTGTAAATTTTTTTAGTAATTTATCATTCATATTTTGTCATACCTACA